AAGCTTATTCATAGCCCTTATCAGGCTCTCCTTGGCATGACCAGATCCAGTAATCGAGTGTGGTTGACCCCCCAATGTGAACTGGATGGCACAGAGGTTATCCACCATGCTTTCAGACAGATTAATGGCCCTGGCCTCAGCCGGCTCTGTGTTTTGTGTTACATGAGTGTCTGCTCACAGTCCAAGTACACCAGAACAGCAGCCGGATGCATGTCTGCTATGATTGTGGTGGTTACTTGAGATGGGTCATTCTGCTCCAGAGTGACGCCTTTCATGACAAATTGTTCTGACAATAATTGACAGTAACCAGGGAGGGAGGAGGCCCAGGGAAGTGATGTCTCTGAGCAGGCTAGCTGATGGACTTCATGAGAGAAACAGCAACTCTGAACTTAATAAAAAAAATGTTTTATTTATAAAAAGATTAAATTGATGATAAAGAATAAAACCCAGAAAATGCCTGGAGAGCCTGAGAAGTACAAAATGAAAAGGCACGTTACAGCTCCTTCCTTGGTAACGTTTAGAGATCTTGACCAGTACTAAAATCCCTGTTCAAAAAGTCAGTCACAAAAGTTCCTGAAGGGCTTGCCCCTTTGGCTACAATGGCCTAGTGTGTATTTTGGACAGAAGGCTGCTGATCATACTGCATTTACACTCCCACGGGATATTATCTCAGCACAAATCCATTCTTAAGGTGATGACACAGAGATGCCGTCTTCAACATCATCATAACCTGTGTCTCCAGGAAGAAGGGCTGGGTCATCTTGCACAAGCTCAAAGATTCCTTCACTTCTAAGCCAGGGCATGCTCCGTTCTGAAAAATATCAGCAGAAACAAATTGCAGAGAATATGTTTTAATATGAGCCTACACACATTCATATAACCTGTGTGTGGCCTATAGCCTGCGCTGCCACTGGTCTCATGTCTCTTCTTGTAAATGATCCCAGACAAGTTTTCTTTCTTACTCTCTATGCTTGCAAGGCCTACGCTTACATTCTTTCCAGCACAGATGCTCAAATTTAGGATGAGGATTAGAGAATTCCTGACATCTTTTGGGCAAAACAGGAGACTCCTCTGGGCATTGGAGGATCAGGGTTCGAGTCCATCAGGAGGAAGAGGACCTAGGACACAATGCTCAGAGTTTCTCTGGGAGTGCTCTAAATATCAGACAACTATGAAACAGTTGGGTGGCAGTGGCATTAGGTCCTTGCCTTCCTCAAAACAGGAACTGGGGTCAGGAGCACACCTGGTCAGGGATAGCTCTAAGCT